CCAAAATAGTATTTGTAGTAGTTGCATTTTTATATAAAGAATTTCTTTTCTCTTTGGTTACAAGTGATAATATTACATTCTTTAATTGTACTATATAGCCGTGTCACAAAGGTTAGACAAGAGGTCATTTTGCGATATTGTCTAAGGTAATCTTGCTGACACTAGTTTAAAAGTTGAAATTAGGTCAAACGTATATTCGTTTAAAATGGAACGATTCAGATCAGATCAGGAAAAGCTAGGTCAAGACATTACGAAGCTTTTAAATAATTTGCGAAAACTACGGAAAGTAAAACGAACGAGAGAATATTTAAACATTAAAAGACAGACACTTGATGAATTGTGGAACGACTTTGAAGATCAAAACACAGAAATTGAAGAGAAAGGTTCGAGAGTTGATAAATATTTTACATCTAACTTTTACCAACAAGTACAAAAAAGATATGGAGAAACGAAAAAGACTTTGAGGAATTTATTAAAAATTCGTACAAGTCTTCGACAAAAATTAGAGAAATAGAAATTAGGATGGGGAAACTTCATCATTTATTGGAAGACGACGAAACCGTTGAAGATTTACAAGAGGATTTAAAAGAAGAGGTACAAAAAATAGATACATTAATAATGGAAATAACTGTGGACAATGAACAGGATGCACTAGAAGAAGGTGAAATAGAAAGATTTTATACAATGAAAAGAAGGGTGCGGTCAATCATAAAAGAAAATAAGAGATTAGAGGCGGAAGGATGCAAGAAAGACAAAATAATATTACCCCAAGTGAAGTTACCCTGTTTTGAAGGAAGGTATGAATCCTGGGTAACATTCTATGATATTTTTAAACGTTTGATACATGAAAATAATCAACTATCAAATGTGGAAAAAATGCAGTATCTGAAGACAAGCCTCCGAGGAGAAGCAAGTAGAATAATACAACATTTAACCACAACAGAAGCAAACTACAGTGCTGCCTGGAAAATGTTGCAAGATCGATACGATAATCCAAGGATGAATCTATTTATATTAATAGACAAGATACTTCAGGCTGCGGAGATAAAAGAAACGTCAGCAAAGGCGCTGAAATCATTACATGATACTCTCCACGAATGCTTAGAAGCCATTAGTGGACTAGGTCTAATGACAGAGTCCTGGAGCCCTCTTATAGCAAGGATAAGTATGTTAAAGTGGGACACAGAAACCAGGAGATTATATGAAACGTCAATTCAAGACAGTAGGGACATTCCGACATATAAGTCAACACAGGAATTCCTACAAAGAAGATTCCAGACATTGGAGATGTTGGAAACAGACAGGAAAGGAACAGATCATAGACAACAGGTAAAGAAGAAGATAACCTGTGTGGTGTGTCATGAAGAACATAAACTGTTGAAATGTACAACGTTTCTACGTCAACAAGTACGTGAAAGAAACAAAATCGTAAAGGAAAAGCAATGGTGCGGTAGATGCCTACTACACAAAAGGGAAGTACCATGTTATTCCTCTCATAGATGTGCAGAATGTGGTGGACAGCACCATTCATTACTACACATGTCAGAAGGTCAGCATGATAACAGAAGGAATTCTGAAAACAGAAGGCCACAGAATAGACCAAATTCTAGTGGGTGCCAGTATGACAACAGAAGGAATTCTGAAAACAGAAGGTCACAAAATAGAGCCAACTCTAGTGGGAACAGACGTGACAACAGTTACGACGGATCGTCAAGGAGACAAGAGAATGCCGTGAGCTGTTTAAGTCATCAGAATGAAGAAGTGCTACTTGCAACGGCATTAGTACGAGTAAGAGACTCAAAAGGAAGCTCACAATTGATGAGAGCATTGATTGACCAAGGCTCGCAGTCATCATTCATTACGGAGCAGGCCGCTACAAGTCTCGGAATAAAAAGAAAAGCTGTCCACGCTCAGATATCTGGAATTGGCAATGAAGACCAAAGGACGTCGAAATGGAGCGTAACATTAAACTTAGAGGCGCATTTCAAAAATGAATTTGAAATGAAGACCGAAGCAATTGGGATAAGAAAAATAACAAAAAATCTACCGGAGAAAGAGATACAAATAAAAGAAAGGAACCATAGAAACTTAGTCCTGGCGGATCCAAATTTTAATAAAACGGGTCCAATAGATATTCTATTGGGAGCCAAAGAATATAGTTTGATATTACTGGACGGAGTAGATCGAACAAAAGATGGTTTGCTCACCCAAAATACAAAATTGGGTTGGATAATGTCAGGGATAGCACAACAAGAGAATATCCCTAATATACAAGTAGTCAGCATGATATCTAGACAAGAAATGGATAAACAAATAAAAAAAATACTGGGAGTTAGAAGAAGTAGCTCAAAGCAATACTCACTCAGTAGAAGAAAAAAAGTGTAAAGGATATTATAAAAGAACAGTAAAAAGGGATAACGAAGGAAGATTAGAAGTTAAAATACCCTTCAATTTTAGTACAAGCCTATTAGGGGGACTCACTACAGCAAGCATATGTGAGACTTCTGCAACTAGAGAAGAAATTTCAAAGAGACACAAACCTAGAAAAAGAAAAGGTGGTGTTGTGCGCTCGTTGTTGGTCCCAAGGAATCTACTTGCAGTAGATTACAATAACTCACACTAATTTTTTTTAAGTGACATATCAAAATAAAGGAGGGTAGTCAGATATTTTCGAAACTCCAAGAGGGCCACAAAACGAAGACATACTTCATCACAACCAAATTTAGGTAGTACTTTAAAGAAAGCCCCTCCTAGATCAATTTCACTTAATAAGCTTAGATTTAAATTAGATAGTTTAGCTGAAACATGAATTCTAAAGAATCAAATTATAGGTAGCACTGCTCGGGTGAGATAATAATTCAAAAACCGTGGCTAATATGTTCAATCACAAATTAACCCCTTAATTTGTAATCTCACATTATTCTTAACTTCTTAATCTTTTATAGTTTCACCGTGTATAAGTTTGCATTATACATATTGCAAAACCATATCGTATGATAATTTAATAATTAGTTCATTTACCTACAACTAAATAAATTGCCGAATAATAATATTTTCTAATTGAACTTCCTAAGTGTCGCAATTAAGGCGTAGATTAAATTGTATTATAAGCAAAAGTTAGGTGGTGTGATATGAACGAAGCAATGACCTAAGGTGCTTATGTATCTATTATGTGTGAGATTATAAATTGGGGATTTGAGTTCAAATGAACACAGTCAATATTGAGTAGTTACCGAACGAACACCATATTGTGTAATTACGAGTTGCTGTCAATAAATCATCACTTTTACTCCGCAACTTCAACCTTTTATTATACCTATCAGCATCGATCGACGAGAATCGGACAAAGGGGCATTTACGAACCGAACCGAACTTCAATACTAAGTTCGATATTTTTCCAAATATCTTTATTATTTCAATTGGGATATTATCTTCCCCAACAGCTTTTCCGTTATTTATCTGATTTGCCGCTTTGATAATTTCTTGATTTGTGATATAAGGTCCAGTCGATGCCTCCTGCATGTAAATGTTCGTCCTCTCTCGGTCTTGAAACATCTCTTCCACGTATTTTCTCCATCTACCTATTTGATGACAAAATGATACTTTGTATAAAGTCTGTACTTATTTATTGTATTTATGTATATTTTATTTGTAATTTTATACATTGTATATTTCTTTAACACGTTAAACGCCATGGGTACAATGATAAAAAAATTAATAGAAAATTTTTTAGTATATATATGTATATATATATATATATATATATATATATATATATAATATATATATATATATATATATCTGATATTATATGTTAAAAATAGACATAATATTTATATTTGAGCGTCTTTTTTCGTCATAAATACAAAAAACACATGAAGGTCACCGGTGCCCTCCGCGGCGCCATTGACTAGAAATTAACTTTTCCGTTGTACCACGCCGCGTCGGTCACAATGCCGGTCATCTCGATGCCCGGCACAATGCCAATCTATATTTTTCAGAAAATATTTTTTTTTCAATTTTAATGTTTTATTGTTAATTCCTAGTTAGTTAGAGTTGGTTTGTTTTAGTTATGTCATTACTTTCCATAAATGTTTATAACAGACAACATTTTTAATAACATTATATAAAAATTCTAACGAAACGAGTGACCGCCGGCACAGAAAACAACTTTGTACACTTCATCTAATTTATATAACGATGCACGTCATCGACGTCATAGCCTGTAACGTCATATGATACCAACACGAAATATTTAGGGTTTAGGTGTGTTCTTTTTAGAATCACTTTACCGAGTACACTGGCATTACAGCCACTAGACATATTTTATTATATACGCGTAGAAATAATATTTAAAAATTTTTATTAATGTTAACTTAAAGAAATACACAATAATATGTTTCATTTAATTTGTATAAACAAATTATAAAGAGTTTTTATCAAGAACATTTGTTCGGAACACACTGTAACTGTAATCGAACGAAGGTAAAATTTTGGCATAAATTGGTAACACTTATTTGACAGTTGCGGTGTTGACACTTTTTGTACTTTATTATTTTAAATTTTAAAGTGAATACCTCTTGTTTTATATTTTTACCTATTTAATAAAATCTGTTTTTTTTAGAACAAAATTAGTGTGTTTTCTTTCAAAAATGTCACGTAAGAATTTAAATAGTCGTTGTAAAGAGATGGTAATACTTTTGCAATAATTATGTGACCTATTTGATTTAAAATGGAGTCAGGATTTTTTTTATACTTTGGCAACTATGTCAACTTCGATCTCTGACGTAGATAATGACGTAAGTCGTTATCTAAATTAGATGAAGTATATAATGCTATGTTGCGGAGGTCACCGGTGACCCCCACGGCGCAATGGGACGGACGTCAGAGCTGGTGGTCACCGGTGACCCCCATGGCGTCGAACGTGTTAATGCTACACTCTTGTATAATTTTGACAGTAGGTTTGTTCTATTTGTTATGATAAATAAATAAATACCAATTAAGACAATTTTATTACATAATAGATCACATCGATTCTTAGTTTGTAAAAAGCATGAAACCAGCTGGAATCCTTAAAAACAACCTATAAAATTTGTACTTTTGTAGCAACATCCTGAATATAACTTTTAAGTCTTTTGGTGCATGTACTGTTTCATAACCTTTTTACCAGGAACTAAACCTTGAGTCAGACCAGGTCTCTTTCGTTTCTGTTTAGCCTTTTTGGAGTCATCATCATCATCAGATGCTTCGTCATCTACTTTTGTGTGTTTTAAATGTATACCAGTTTGAGAATTTTCGCAGACAACAGAATTTTGAAGAGCAGATACCTTTTCAACCTACAAAAAATTGTTTTCATTATAAATAAAGAAATTTCAATTGTAAACTAATAATAATAATAATTTGTGGGAGTTCTATCAGTTCTTCTATTACGCACAGTCCCCTGTGAATGAGGGATGCTCTATAGGTATTCATAGCACCTACACCCAGAGGATAGTAAGCTGCGGAAGAAAAACTTACACCTAGCAGTAGGTACAAAATTCACATATTTACACAAAACTACATGTCCCTATTGTGGCTATATGCAATAGTCGCATAATACAAAACTTGTAATTTTTCAAAACAGGTGTTTAAAGTTTGTCTGCCAATAATTTTGTCTTATTTGTTTTACTACAGGGATTAGGATTTTTGAAAAATATAAATTTTGGTGTATTTGGGAGAGTGTTAGCTAGCCTTTAATGAAGTGTAACACAGACTTTTAAATTCAACCCTTATTTTGAGTTGTGGCACTATTGTACATCAACATTTTGTCTTTCAAGATTAATTAAAGCAAAGATAAACTGACATTTTTTTGTTATTCCTATCAACTGAAATAATGGTTCAATAAAGAATACTACAAGTTATTTGAATGAAAAAATGTGTTTATTAACAACTATAAGAACAAAATAAAAAAAAGATAAATAAAAAAATATATTGACAATAATAGGAAAAGTTATGATTAACAATGATTTAAATGTCTGTAAAAATCAGCGTCAATTGGTGGAACACTCTTGTCTTCACAAAGGCTAGTAAGGTCTTTTTTCTTCTTTACAGTTTATTGACAGGCTGCCAGTGTAAGCTTTTTCTAGTTCTATAATATCCATGATTTTTAACCTTTTCTTGTGTTTTTCTTGGTGGTATCAACTGATCTGTACTCCTCTTGTGCAAATGAAGTTTTAAAATAGTAGTGAATCCCAGAGCTTTTTTTACATGAATTTCACAAATATCATTGAAATGAAAAGTATTTCCTTGGACATCTTCGTTGAAAATTGTCGTTGTTTTAGTATTTAACTTTTTCAGGTAAAAAAAAATCATTATGATGTAATTCTTGTCCTTTGAATGGTTGTTTGCAAAGAGCAGTTCGGATTAGCAGAGCATAATGAGTCGATAGATAAATAGGCCCTCCTTTTAAAACTTTAGTGATATTTCTTTCTATTAAAGAGTAGCAGCTATCACCCTCATACCCTCATTTTGAGTATGGCCTACAACTAAATAGTGATGAGTTATAGAAGAAATTTTGAAATGAGTTACAGCATACTGATACATTAAGATTAGGTACTTGTTTTTTCCTTGACCACCACAATGGTATGAGTAAAATATGAATTTCAAATCTTCAGAATCGGTTTTTATAGATGTTTGTTCCAAATACATCAGCAGGCATGAACCAATTTCTATAGCAGTTTTACTGCCTTCTCCTTCATGCTAAACATAGCTTTCCCAGTCCCTTTTTCTAAAGTTCACATATAGAGAAATATTATGTTGATAGCTCAGATTTATAATAAAAAGAATCATCTCCTTTTGGTATCGGTGATGCAGCTTGTAGGTCAAAACAAGCAACTTTTTTTAAGTTAGTTATATTCTCTTTGCCAAGTGTTTTTAGCACCTGGCTTAAGTTTTTCTCCTTATGATGGATATTGTTATAAGCATTTCCTAGGGCTATTTTTTCTTCACTGCTCGAATTTTTGTATTTTTCACAATACTGACATAGTTAAATTCATAATTAAAAAGTTAATGATATAAACCAATTTTTACAAATTCATCATTGTGTTTTTTGGCAATCAGCTTAATAATCATTGTACAGGTCAGTCAATGTTTTACCTCCTACTATATATTTTTTTGAGGTACTACATCGACAATAGTGGCTCTCCATTGTCAGAATTGAAGAAAAGTATTTACAAACCCTGTTCAGTTTCGCTACAAAATGTTTTATGCATCCTATGTTTACCTCTTTGATCGTAGCTTATAAATGTCCACTTTCTGTCTTCCCAATAAAAGTTCGAATACATCTATTAGTAACTCCAATGGTGGATATCATATTATTTTTGTATTTTTCACAATATTGACATAGTTAAATTCATAATTAAAAAGTTAATGATATAAACCAATTTTTACAAATTCATCATTGTTTTTTTTTAGCAATCAGCTTAATAATCATTGTACAGGTCAGTCAATGTTTTATCTCCTTCTATATATTTTTTTGAGGTACTACTTCGACAATAGTGGCTCTCCATTGTCGGAATTGAAGAAAAGTATTTACAAACCCTGTTCAGTTTCGCTACAAAATGTTTTATGCATGCTATGTTTACCTCTTTGATCGTAGCTTATCAAGCCACTTTGTGTCTTCCCAATAAAAGTTTGAATACATCTATTAGTAACTCCAATGGTGGATATCAAAAATCTTTTGCACACTCTTATTTTTTTTCTTATCACAGTTTTCCAAATAAAATGCATGATTATAACCACGGTTTGATGTGTTACCTTTATCTGCATATCGATATGTTGGTTTAATTATAGACATGGAGCTCAGAATATAATTTCGTTGTTCATTTATATTTCCCATTGACCAATATTTTTCAAAGATATGTGTTCTTTCTTGTAACGTGAATTTTTCATCACATTTCAGTCTACATGAATTGCAAGATGGACCTAAACTGAGGGCTTGTACAAGATTACTGTTAACATTGGTGTGTTTTTGGCCTGAATTTCTAAGAAACTTTCTGACATTTCTTTCCCATTGGTCCAGACAAGCTTTCCTTTTCCTACTTTTAGCTTTATTAATCATCACATCTTCTGGTACTTCACTCTCCACATTTTCATCAGAGACCTCTGTAAATGTGGATGATACATCATCATCATCATTCACATAATGAGGGTCTGCATCAGAATCATCATTAGAAGATTGGGAGCTAAATTAACTTCCAGAAGAGGTGCGTACCAATTTAGAACTGCAACCTAAAATAAGAATGACCTAAAATAATTGACCAATAGTTACAAAGAAAACAAATAAATCCCTTACATTATAAAAAGAGTAATTTTGTACCTATTTGATCCTCTGCAGTGATGCAGTCTCCATATTGGACTGACCTTTCTCATTGTTAGGGACATTTTTATTGTGGGGAAAGAGCTCTACTCCCCATTGACTTAGGGACTTTTGTACCTATTTGCTCCTCTGCATCAAAGCACTCTGTGCATTCAGGAGTCACATTCTCAATATTGGACTGATCATCACCTTTTTATCTATAGGGTCTTTCGTACCTATTTTCTCTTCTGCATCAATGTACTCTGTGCATTCAGGAGTAACATTTTCATTATGAGAAAGAAGCTCTATTTTCATTGACTACTATAAGAAGAGTCTTTTACCTGAAACAAAGAATTCCTTGTATAAGCCATAGTGTGGCGGCTAGTCTTTTCTGGTACATAATTAAATATGTAATTAAAAATATTTATTTTTTACTTAGATATTTATATATCATTAGAGTAGGGCATATTGTGTGTGCTTGAATTAATTTTTGGTCATTTTTTATTAATATTTAACCAGCTACTGCTTGCTTACATTAATGATTGATATTAAAAGAACTTTATCACAACATAGTTAAATTTAAAATTAATGTATAGTTTAAAAAAATTTAAATCAAAAACTGCATGCTAATACAGATCTGCTTCCCAACAACTATGACCTAAAATGACCTAAAATAGATCTCTATCTTTGCGGTTCACACCAGTTGGTGTGAACTAAAATGGGTTTATTTTTTGTTGAAACTGGTAGATGTAAACAAAAAATGGTATAAAGTTTTCTACTAAATCGATTATTTGAAATTATACATTAAAATAATATTAATACTTACCTTACTCCTGCTCAAGGTTGGATTAATTCACTCTTTTCGAATAACCCTTTCGATCTGACATTTTTAAAACAATAAATTTATTCCTTTTATTTAATGTGACACAACTCCAAAATTACTGATACACTTTGAAAATATCTAAAATTGTCTGCTATAGTGGCACAACTTAAAAGTACCAGTATTGGATAGAAACTTGATATCAACACAGTTTGACTTTCACTGCACAACTAAAAAGTGATAGTACTGCAAGAAAAAATTGGATGGTGTTCTGCAATAATAGTCTAAGCCACCTATATACGGTTCAGAGTAAATGAGCATATTGTGTTTACCTACTTTAAGAAATTCACTGATAGAAAATAACGCTTTATTTTCATATTTTTATATTTTAATAATTACAACCCATTTTTACCTAAAAAATCGTACAAGAGCAAAATAAGTAAAACCAGTTTATTGCAAAAATAACTTAAAGCGGCTTAGACTGTTTTTGCAAAATTGTAAAAATATAAATGGTCATTTTGCAATAACCGTCTATCCCTCCGACATGGTAAATACACAAAAAAAACTTTGAATTCAAGTTCATTAGTAATAGTAAGTAACTGTTACTTATTAAATTCCTACTCGATTTAATCTTGATCAATCTCGAAATCAGGATTTAACCAAATTCCTTCCAAATCATACCTATAATATTCTTATCATATTCCTACAATATTTTGCTGACCAGAATTTTGACTATGAAGCAACAATTCCAATATTTTATATAATAAACAACTGGTTTAGTTATTTGATAATGCATTTTTTTGTCGGCATTCATGGCACCAACATGTCAGTAATCGCAAAACATATTATGTTACCTTTTCGGTAAAAAGGAATTTATAAATTTCTTTAATCAATTGCCGAGCTCACAACACAGAAAATTCACAGTTTTATATATTATACTTTCTACCATATACTATTTTACCATTAAAGATAAAGCCTCTAGTTTGGTGCAAGTTTATTTATTTAAATAAAATTGTAATATTAGTGTAATAATATATTTTTCGTCTTTTAATAAGTCAAAATAAAGATTTGTTCAATTTAATATTTTGCATCTGGTGCACACAATGAAAAGACCCTTAACAAAGATTTGCAACAAGCGTCTAACCCACATATTTATAATAAAAACATGGGTTAGACTATTTTTACAAATTTGTTTTCATATTATTTGACGAATGTGGTTTAGAGCTTAGTTCACAAACGTCTTTATGAGTATGGATATGGCTTATATCATTTTTGCTTGATGTAGTATGCATTATGATCGACAGTTTGACACGTCTAACCTCATTTGTAAACAAATGTGGGTTAGACGATTGTTGTAAAACACCGTCCAATTTATCTGAACTGACATGTCATAGCGACACTAGTGACATCTAGCGGCCATGTTTGCTATTATTATTGTGCCAGTTATTCAGGTCATAAATAAGGCTTTTTCAAGCCCTCTGGTGATGTTAACTCAATTTTGTCAATTTTTGAGTTAAGCCACTAGTGCATACAACCGATGATATATAATCATTGATTAAAAGTAAGTTTCCAAGTCAATATGATTTTTTATTCTGATATATTGCTAAAGAATAAATTTTTCCAATTTTGAGTTGGAAGAAAGCAAACAGGAAGCTTATGAATATCCAAGAGGCCATAAAAAATCAATGTGGCCACATTTTTCTGTTAAGTATTGTGAGAATCATATATAATGATATATAGTATAAGAAAATGTCTTACAAAAGGGGCTTAGATGAAAAATAAATACTTTACCTCTACTTGTTCTTGTGTTTTTTGAACATCTGAATCATGTGCATATTTACAGTTATGACCAAATCTACATCTGCCTTTTCTGTAGTTCCAGCAAATCTTTTTCCCATTTATTATAACCATATTATCCTTTGACTCCACCATTTTAACGTGCTTCTGTAAAATAGCATCTTTTGCATTCTCCGCTTCTATAAAGGGATTCTTAAACACTGAAGATTTTGTTGATTCTTCTGTTGGGTTAGAGCCCCCAAAACTTGGTGCCGGCAATTTATTTTTACTTGCAACATCGGACTTCTTGGTTGGGCTAAAACATATGACAGCTGACCCATTTTTTATAATATTAAATGGATATTTATCATGGGGGATACTTTGCCCTGAAGAATTCTGAAATTGATAATTTATTCCTATTCAAATATATACATGTAAAAAATACAGAACAGTATAAGATATAAAGAGACATAAAAGGGATAAATGCCAAGAGGCAATAAAAGAAAAGAATGCACTCTATTAGAAATAGGTAAGTATAAAAACAACAGGACTAAGGAATAACTATAAAATAAAGAATTATAGTATAACAAAAATGAATGTTCTGTGTGTTATTGACTAAAAAACCTCATTAAAGAAATTAGACTCGGCAATAGTTACATCAAGCAGTGAACACCAGACTTAAATATTGAACTATATAGAAATGTATTAAAGTTTTATTTTTTAATTACATTCTTGACGATTAATTGTAATTGTTTAAGGAGATGTAATTTAGCAAAAATTACTTACATAATTTCATTTTCGCTATCACTGGATGAAGAACTTGAATCATCTGAGTTTGAAGAATCCCCATAATCTGGAACTAAAGACATTTTATTTATTTATATATGTTTTGTAAATAATAAGCTTAAATTATATTTTTGTTTATAGGATAAAATAAAAATCCAAATCAAGAGGACCCTGCTGTCACTGTCAGTGTCAAAGTCAACTTTATGGTCAACTTGTCAACTTAAGCATAACATTAAACTATAATAGTGTAGTCACTATGGTTAATATTATTTCTAAGACATTGGGTTTTGAATAAAATTATTTTTAACTTTTTATAATTTCTAACTTTTAATAGTTTATAGATAACATAACTTAATTTGTAGACCCTGTTAAAGTTTTATTCGTGGATAAAAATAGAACTACTTTATTTTATTAATGAAAAATCTGAAAGATAACATATTTTCTACAACTCAAAACACTAAAAGATTAATTTTGTCACAAATAAATATCGCAAAACGACATTGCCACTGTATAAAAGACTTAATTAGTATAATTGTGACATATTATGTTTTACTCTATTTTAAACCAAATCGGTTATGAACCGAGAGTTGCAAATGCGAATTTGTACATCATCTGTCACTTTTTCCATCAACATTTCTGTTCTGAAATGTTTTTAGAACGACAACGACATTCACAGAGGAGGGTACAGTCACTCTGTCCGAGGAAAGAACATTGAAGTGCGTGAAAGTTGTGTTGATTTTTAATTTTTCCGAACATATATAATTAATTTACCGTTTCATTAAATAAATAAAGCATGTGCTAAGTGTGTTTGTCCCGTGTATTTGGCCCTGTTATGTAGCAACTAGTTTATGGTATGTATCTTTTCCTATTTCTTTAAATATCACCAATGTTTACTTTCTAGATGTACTGTATTTGCAACAGTTAACATATTTGTATTGGTTTTTAAGTTAAAATGATACTTTTTTATTATTATTATACGCATAAAGAACGATAAAATCATTAATAACGTTAGTGTTAGCTAGTTTTACAACTTTTGAAAACCGCAAAATAAGGTTAAAATTATAACATCTGAAAAAGTTTCTGTTTATAAAAATAGAAAATGAGATTAAAATTATATATACCACTAGGTTTTACATAATGATTACTTGTTATGTTTATTGACTAAGCGATAAATCAAAAGTTTTAATTTCGTAAACCCATTTTTTATCTTGTTTTCCAAAAATTTTGCAGAATTAAATAGGTAATTTATTTACTTACAATTATCTTACAATTACAACTAATCTTACTGTTCAAATGAGGAGTGATTAAACGTTCATTAATAATTTATTATAGTACCTACAAAAAAAAATTGGAAATTAGAGGCTAAGTTAACAATAAATATAATATGAAACCAGTAAATGTATACTAAAGTGTGTTTGTTTGTAACTGGCAGCTCATTATAAATGCAAATCTTCAAATAGGGGTAAAGATTACCCTCAAGGACATAAACCATTGCCGTACGCATGCAGTTAAAACCAATAAGGTTTTTTTATATTACGAGTTATACATTAATTTGTTTAGTTAGATATATACTTATACTCCATTCGCTTAGCTCGGATATATTTTGACAGATTCATTGTCGGAAACCTACAACACAACAATTCCTACTTCTCAGTATTAATAGCTTAAGTATACTACTATTGCAGACTTCTTTCTTTGATAAAAGAAGAATTATTCTAAATAGTGGAAGTGCATACTAAACCCATCAAATTTTGGGTAGTACATATTTAATAGAATACGGAATGAAGTGATAAAACAACAAATGGGTATAGGGGGCACTATAGTTGAGGATATTGAGAGAAAACAGCTCATATGGTATGGGCATGTGAGCCGAATGGGGGACGAAAGATTGCCTAAAAAAACGATGATGTGGCAACCCCAAGAGAAGAGGAAACGAGGAAGACCACAACAGAGCTGGATCCTGGGAGTTAGGAAAGCGATTAGCGCTCGAAATCTGGACGAAGACCTAACTCAAGACAGAATACAGTGGCGTTTGGGAGTCGGACAACGTCGTAAGACGTTATAAAACCGAATATATATATATATATATATATATATATATATATATATATATATATATATATATTATAAATAAATAAATAATAAAAAATAATAATAATAATAAAATAAATAGTTATGTTAAATTATAACAACTAAAATATATTTTTTAAATATATATATATATATATATATATATATATATATATATATATATATATATATATATATATTTAAAAAATATATTTTAGTTGTTATAATTTAACATAACTATTAAATATTTTTTGTCGGTAATTCACAATGTTCTATTTTATTTACTATTTAGTTTGTTTACTTAATATTGGCTATGAGTACGTTGTTTGTTGTATAGTAATTTCCAGCCACTTTTAGTCTGTCAAAAAGTAACTAACTTCGCGCAAAAAAATAATTACTAAATTCACTAGACAGTTCGTACTGAGAATAGCGAAACCGAGTATACTTAAAAAAACTCAATGGATTTAAAAACTCTTAACACTAATAATAATAAGACCATAGAAAGCAAAAATTTTGTAAAAGTTATATCTTAGGCATATACTTAATTACCTGTATTTTCTTTCAGCTCTTTAATTTTTTCACGAAACAACTTCTCTCTTTTATTAGTAGTATTTATAAGGCATATCTATACCATTTACATTCATAGAGTACTTTGTCTGATTAGGGGATAAAAAACAATCGTTAACAACTACTAATAATGTACTTTGATAATATAAAAGGCAAATATCGAGCACAGTTTAATTAATTTAATCTTGCTCAAGTACTGTCGATGCCTAGATCGAAACAATACCGTATGACAGGCTATGCTTAAAACAAAATTATTACGAATTGCAAAGCAACGTAAATCGTATTATAAAAATAAGTCATTGACGAAATGGCAAAAACAAAAGGAATAACGGTATTATGTTTGCTACCTTATCATTGTCAACTAAATCTAATAGAGTTAATAATATCATCATCGTTCTGGCTTTACAACCCAGCGTAGGTCCTAGCCTCCTCAAGAATTTCTCTCTAGTCGTTCCTATCCCTCGCCTTCCTCTGCCAAGCGCGTATTGCCATATTTCCCATGTCTTCATAGATGTTATCAAAAAACCTTGTTCTGTGAGTTAGGTACTATCTTGCAACAAAAACACAGTTTGGTAGTATAAAGATCCAAGCAAAAGAGTCTAAGGACGAGTGGGGAGCATAGCTTCGTGAACGGGGGCTCCCAGAGTATAGGAGACCCTATGTGGGAGCCGGAGCAAGACTAGACTGACTTGGCTTGGAGAATGCACCCTTTTTGTACATTTTTCTTTCGTATCGATATGTGCATTTCCAAGTCAAGGTGGGGCAATGTGCATCGACGTGCTCATTGGTCAACAGACTAAGGCACGCGATGACACTATCAAGAAGCGTTTTTCTAGGTGGGTCATTTTGTTCCATTCGCATTACATTCCCTATTCACCTCAGACGTCCTATCTTAATATGTTTTGCAATATCTTGTTCCGGGTAAATTCTATAAAGTTCGAAGTTGTATCGTCTTCTGCACACTCCATTGTCATTTACCATTCCATAGATTTGCCTTTTACTTTTTCGAAACATCCTAACATGTTTTCATTACTTTTTGTTCGTGTCCAATAGTAGAGTTAGTGGGCTCAAGTAAAAAGTGAAGTGGTGAGACAGAATACAACTTTTAAATTAAAGGATGTCAAACAACTTTGATTAAATTCTATAAAAAAACGCAACGAAAGATAACTGGACCAATGCCGCAAACCACGTAAACAAAAGAGGAAGAAAGATTGTGAACTGTTGATATACTCAGTGACATTAGAAGTGTTAAACCTAGAAGAAGTAATTTCTTAAACTTAATTTTTTGGCAAAAGAATGACTATATTTAAAACATGCTATGATAACAATACCAATGTTTTATCGTTTCTCCTTTTTGTAAAAATAAAGTTTTATTTTTAAATTTTTTTGTGAAGAGACCGATTTGTGAAAACTGGTTCGTATAGAAATTTTTAGTTATTATTCCTCAGTCTTATTGTATTTAGTGTAAGAAATTGCCTCTAGTTCGAAGGCACCAAAATTACCACCATGTTAGCGATTTTGACAGGGTAGAATTATTGCGTATGGAGATATGGGTTATCGTATAGCGAAATTTGCCATAGTGTTAATTGTACGGCAATGACGGTTATGCGTGTCTGTCGTGTGTGGACAAACGAATGTAGAGGAAGACGAAGATAGGCGCTTTAGATTACTCGCCATTTTGCTACTACGCGTCAAATTGCTGACCAATGGTTTGGAGTAGTAGGTAGACATGTTAGTATGCGTACACTATACCGTCGCATTCGAGCCTATGGACTGGTTTCCTTCCGCCCACAACTAGTGCTTTCTTTGACTGTGGACCACTGTCATCAACGTTTGAATTGGTGCAGAGAACGGCAGCATTGGGTGACAGACTGGCGTAATGTAGCATTCAGCGATGAATCACGATTCTGTTTAGGAATGCATGATGGTCGTAGGATGGTAAGACGCCGCCGTGGAAAGCGACGAGATATCGGGTTTGCTGTTGAAAGACATGTACACAGGACCGTGGGAGTAATGGTTTGGGGTGCTATTGTCTATGGTAGCCGATCACCACTTCTGTTTATTCGAGGCAATATGACACCTGCGCGTTATGTTAATGACATCTTACAAACCACTTTACTGCCTTATCTCAACGGCTGTCGAGCCGTCCTTTTTCAGCAAGGCAACGTGCGTCTCCATATTGCTTGTCAAACTATGGACTTTCTTCAAGAAGCTGGCGTTAATGTTTTTGCCGTGGCCGCCCCGTGCTCCGGATTTAAATTCTATCAAACATGTATGAGATATGATGGGAAGGGGATTGTCCAATTTACACCATCTTGCACAGACTCTGGCACAGTTAATACATGAAGATATAGACGTATATGGGAGTGTATTCAGCTAGGAGGTCGCCAAACACATTATTAATTTTTTTTATTACTTATTAATAAAAATTCTTGACAACGTTATTGTTTCATTCTTGATGTAAATCTACCATGTTGCCAAACAATTAAGTTCAAGAAATTATTCCTTCTGGGTGTAACACTTCTAATGCCACTG